GAAAAGTGGCTTATGTGAGTCCTATCTTCAAGAGGGGCGATCGTCACTCCACGAACAACTATAGACCGGTGAGCCTGACCAGTATAATATGTAAAGTACTTGAGAGTATTATCAGAGATGCCGCGATGGAACATCTACTACGAAACAACCTTGTAAAGGATTGCCAACACGGTTTTATGCCGGGGCGCTCCTGCTTAAACACAATTGCTCAAGGTATTGGATATTTGGACGCATATTCTGGAACGGGGTGGTAATATCGACAATATTTACCTAGATTTTGCCAAGGCTTTCGTCAGTGTACCCCCACGAAAGGCTGAAAATCAAACTGGAAGGGTACGGAATTCGGGGTTATGTCCTAGCGTGGATAAAAGACTTTCTACATAACCGCAAGCAGTGTGTGGTGATTAATAGCACGAAATCATCATCCGTACCTGTCACAAGCGGGGTACCACAGGGTAGTGTATTGGGCAAGTTGTTGTTTGTTTGTTTCATAAATGACATGCCTGATGTTGTACACTCCTCCATACAAATGTTTGCTGATGACGCCAAGTTATTTCAGGAAATCAAGAACCAAGCGGACTGTGAAGAGCTGCAGAAGGACCTCTGTGGGCTCCAAGAATGGTTGAAGAAATGGCTGCTGAGATTCAATGTCACGAAGTGTAAGAGGATGCACCTGGGACGTACCAACGGTAAGGAGGCGTATCATATGTCCCAACGGGATGAAGAAACTGCACTATTTGAGACAATGTGAGAAGGACCTAGGTGTGTATGTTGACAATGAGCTGAAGTTCTCGGACCATTGCGAGACAAAGGTAAATCAGGCAAATAAATTATTGGGTCTTATAAGAAGGTCGTTCAGATATCTAGACGGTCCGTCCCTCGTAACGATCTTCAAGAGTGAAGTGCTTCCCCATCTGGAGTACTGTCATCCCGTTTGGTCCCCTAGATATGCTAGGGACTGTCAGTTGGTTGAAAATGTTCAAAGGAGGGCCACCAGACTGGTGCCTGCCCTTCGGCACCTCAGCTACCCTGAGAGATTGGAGCGCCTCAACTTGCCTAGCTTATATTACAGACGGGCAAGGGGTGACCTAATAGAGGTGTATAAGCATCTCAAGGGGCACTACTCAGTCGAGTGTCCTTACTTGGAGCTGGCGGACGTTCGCCCCACAAGGGGTCACAGCTCAAGATTGAAGAAGCCGTAAGTCCAGGAAACTGTGAATGGCAAACTTTTTCGGAGAGAGAGTTGTGAACTCTTGGAACAATCTACCAGAAAGTGTTGTGACGGTACCGAGTGTGAGCTCTTTCAAGACAAGATTTGACCAACACTGGAGCGGGTTAAGGTACATTCAGGAGCCTGTGTATACCCAGTACTTGCCAACAGTGCGTAACAGAGACGTGACCGATCGCCCAAGCGGCTAACGAGCCGATCAGTGGTGAAGAGAATAAAAGAAGAAAGAAAAAAAGATAAAACCTTTATAACTTTTTTTCCTGAGTCACCCACTAAAATGTAAATTTTCTGTCGTATGTCCTTATATACCCGTTTTCTAAATTCCAACACAGCCTATGTTAAGATTACGATTGAACTCTTATGTTAGCAGTTATCAGAGGCGTCATTTCAGATGTTGCTTGAGGGGGGGGGGGATGGGGGGGGGCAACACCATTACATGCAAAGAGTAAGGGTCAAAATCCTGCTCCACCGTGGTGCACCCGGGTGGTGTTGTAACAGATGGAACACGTTCCAACACGTTTTATATTTTAAATTTGCATCTGGCCGGTGTGGACCGTGTGGCTGCTAGCAATATGACTTACTTCCTTACTGCTATTCAGTTTATAAATTATAGTTAATGGGAACGATGAAAATATACGAATACTTAACATTTTGTTTAATTATACATAGTAAAAATACCACTGAGATGTTCTCACCAAATCCAAATTCTTGTATAAGAAAAAGGAATATTATTATAATTTTCCTTGGAGAGCAAGACAGTCCTAGGGAGGGGCAAGCCAGGTCTTGGGGGGGGCAAAGCCAGGTTTCTTTTTTTTGGGGGGGGCAAAGTCAGGTCTTTGGGGGGCAAAGTCAGGTCTTGGGGGGCTGTGCCCCCCAAATGACGCCCCTGGCAGTTATGTATACCTAACGTTAGCTGATGCATTCAAGATCAATTGAGAAATAGGTTAAAAGCTTTAAATGTACGTAGTTGCAGTGAAAACTGTAATATAACTATTCATTGATGAACCAGTGAGAAATAACTGCATTATTCAGTCTATTATCAAATTGTCAGCAGTCAGGTCGTATTTATAGTTGCATTTCCTTGATCTAAAGAATTCAGAGAATCTGACAGACGCATTGAATTTATTGTTATATTGATATTAACCAGTTCTAATTTATCACTCCAAGTGCCTAGCATCATACCAGCGTCTTATCTGGGCATGTACTGGCTCCAGAATTATTTATTTGTACTTGCGCCAGTGTATGTCAAGTCTGTTCTTGAGAGAGAGCTCACTGTTCACACTCGATGCGGTCACAACACTCTGGCAGGTTGTTTCAAGAGTTTACAATTCTCACCCGGGAAAAGTTTGCCCTCACAATTTTCTGAACATGTGGCTTCTTCAACCTCGAACTGTGACCCCTTATGGGGCGGGCGTCCGCCAGCTCCAGTATGGACACTCGATCAAGTAGTGCCCTCTGAGATGTTTCTAAACTTCAATTAGGCTACCCCTTGCCCTTCTACTGTATAGTATACGCTAGACAGTTGCAGGTGTTATAATCTCTCCGGGCAACTGAGGTGCCGTAGGACTGGCACCAGTCTGTGATGGTGGCCCTCCTCAGGACATTTTCGATAAACTTATTCTCTAGTATATCTCGGGGAGCAGACGGGATGACAGTACCTTTGAAGAGCGCTACGAGGGGTTCTCAATCAAGGACCCCTTGTATGAGAGAAAATAAACCAAGGACCCCCTCACATATATCCCCCAAAATAATTTTATATTAGGCTTATTTTTCACACTTCTATATAGGTTATGTGGACAAACAAATACAAATCAAAAGAAATGTATTGGATATATCTGTGCACCATTTCAGAATATTAACACTCAGGGAAAGCTGTGAATCATACAAACAGTAGCCAAAAGTAACTTTAACCCCATCCCCAAGTGGCACCTTTGATAGTATCAAAACTCAAAAGAACAATTCAAATAAAAAAGTACAATCCAAAAATAGGAGGAATACAACAGCATCCTTCATCCAATACACATGTACCGAGTAGTCCCTCTCTACCACAGTGACGACAGTTACTGTATGTTGGTTGGTAGGCAAGTGGATAGATGAGGCTTATTACTTTTCTCTGCAAGTGAACACACGCATAACAAGCAAAATCAATAAATTCAACATATCTCCACCAGGGAAATAGCATCAGAGATCCACATAAATTCAAGCACTTTCTTTCTCTCTCATACACACACCAATATTAAATGTCTCTTTATCATTATTAATGCGAAATGTGGGCCTGTCTCTCAGTGCACAACTTCTCTATCCTTGGAGGGATGGACGAGAGGCATACTCGTAGGTCATTCTCCACATGTATCTGAGCCCTGTACTTGGTCTTCATGGCTGTCAGAGGCTGAGAAAGATGCCTCGCAGAGGTACGTAGTTGGAAAAGGGAGCAAGATCTTCATAGCAGTAGCAACGAGTTCAGGATACTCCTGTTGAACAGAAGGCCAAAAGTCTACATGCACACCTTGACGGAACCGGATCCTCTGGGTCTCATCGCATGACAGCTCCAACAGCTCTTCCTCTGCCTTTCCACTGAGACCACGCGCTGATGAATGGGCAACAAATGGATCCAGAACCCAGTCCCAGGGATCGGTGTCAACATCAGTGAAGTACGAACTGAAATGTTCATTCAGTGCAGTGAGGTGACAACGGATCGGATTTCTCACCAATTCGACTGATAGTTTGTTTGTGTCCAAAAACTCCGTGAATTGTGGGAACATGTCGGTGATCCCATTCAGGACCCGCATTCTCAACTCGTTTGTGAAAACAATTGCGACATTGCAGAGGCAACAACAACTCATTCTGGACACCCTGACCCAATAGGGGCGCACTTTGCAAGCCCTGGTGACTCGCCTCCTTCCTTCTCCCGAGATGGAGGATCCAACCCTCGCTTTGACATTCTTGCTGTTTATCCCAAATTTGCTAGCCCACGCTGATTAGTCTTCAATTAGAATATGACGTCCAATGTATGTGAACCACTGTCTTGCATGACAGCGAACAGTGACATTACCCACATGAATCTGACCTCTATATATATATAGCTGTTAATGAATATGATGTATTTCTTTGTGTATGAACCTCTGTCCTGCTTGGCAGTGAGAAGTGATACTGTAGTGGATTTCTCTCCTACAAACGCTGTTTGTCGCTGAGTAGCCGACCCCGCGAATTCCCCAGTGTATGCCTCGTTGTCTAGGTCAACCAGCGACGCCTTACATGACGGAGGTCAACTACTAAGCCACACCTACCTCCGCTATTCAAGACCTGACCTCGTGGTGACCAGTCTCTGTTACTAACTACAGCCGCAGCAAGCAACACCACCTCCGCCGCTGCCTGGCGACCCACAAGCTGTCCTCCTCTGAGCATCCTCACCAACCAGCTCTCTCTACATCACGCTTGTAACCACGCTGCCACTTCCCAGCACCAAGCTGCATTGTACATCCAATACAACATGTATACAGAGAGCACATTGTGAGTTTCCTTTCTTCATTGCATCCCGAGTGTGAACCAAACAACTCGTACCCCACAATACCACCCTCAGTGTCAAGACCTGATTGAATTACTCAGAATAGGCAAACAGTACACCAAGCTTTGTCAATAAATTTGTTAAACTAAACTAATAGGCTGTGGTTATTTTTTAAATTAAATAAATTATATAGTCATTACTATTTTGGGGGTTGGTGAAACAATACATGTTTGCGGTACGATATGTTGGGCACCAGACAGGTCCTAGTCAGGTCCAGAGCTATCCTTTATATTTCCCCCCGACTAAGCAACAATTACAGTATGCGGTGTCTTCCCATCCTGGCTAGATAAGTGAAGTGCAACGTAATAGTTTTCACTCATCCAATCAGCAAGCAGTGCGCAGTTACCAGTTGCAGTTTCCAACTGCCCATAATTCAAGCAATACACACATCAGTTGAGTGCTCTGTCTTGAGAAACAAGTGGTGATCATAACGGTTAGTGGTTATTACGTTTGATTGATTTATATGTGGGATACTGCATTGTGTCACATATACCAAGTAATCACAATGAAGTTATAGAAGGTAAGTAAATTGAAGTACACCTTTACCAAATTGAATTTTCATTAAAAACTTTTCATTATGGTATCAAGAGGTAAATACTATGCCAGCCACCGCCATGGCTGCTTCAGTGTGAGAAAGCAATAAGGGATACTGTATAACAGTGCTAACTGTTAAAGGTAATAATTTTCATGATAATTATCATAACATCCAATATATATGTCCAACTTGTCACCCCCACGATCATAATGATATTAATCTGATGGAAAATATCACCCTCGGACATGTACGGAGTGTGTCCAAGGAGGAGTTTCCAGCTTAGCATTTATTTTCCATATATTATGCCGAGTAACTTTTACTAAGTACAGGTGTGTAACGTGTTTAAAGCTTAGGGGACAAACATAACTATTCTGCCAGTTCATTTACTACAAATTGAAATTCATGAACCGAGGGTTTATTAGCAAAACGTGAAATTGGGGGATTCTTCGTCAGAGTGAAAATATGAAAATATGTAATAACTTAATACGAAAGAGATTGTCCCGAGTCTGTCATGAGGACGTGTGTATTTACTCCAGACCGGGCCAAAGATAAAGTCAGCCTTCTCAGGGCCCGTATACACAAAACTTTTATGCATGCGATCAATTGACTCAGATTAAATTAAGTTTTCCAATTTTTCTTGACTTCGTGACACCAAATACTAGTCGAGAAGTGGTTGACAGTCCGATTTATTCATGTAGGACCATTATTTGACTTCATTGCGGCTACATTTGGGTAATTAGTCGGACCCATATAGCAGTAAAATTTAAAAGTTATACACAGCCTGACTAGCAAACTTTTACCGCACAATTAGTTTTTTAAGTACCGCTAAAGATAGCAGTTAATCATATAAAATGGTCTTATGGCTGAATAACCTCAATGAAATTATGAAGATTAATTTAAATATTTACATTTATATACATTTTGATCATTAAAAAAAAACTAATCTATGCGGTTTGAAGGAGGATTTATTTCTTTGCCGTGCTGTGTTATTGAGGGAGTGTAAGTCTCAACCCCACGTAAGAAAAGGAAGCTCAACTGGACAGCAGACCAGACTTTACAGTATTATTGGTGGATGCCATTGAAGAGAAACGCTAAAATTGAATGGCCGCTTGAAGGCTTTTCTGAATAATAACGATAAAAGGAGGGGGTTATATTTCGTTATCAACCCATCACCTTTATACGATTTTTGTTCTTACCATTTAGTAGATCTCATCGAGTAACGAAAGAATATACTTGAATTAAGCGGCGCATTCCAAAAATAAACGCGATATTCGTGGTTTATTACTCGTAAAAATCACGAATTTTCCCAAGTCGCAATTTGATGTTATGGTGACACGCAACATCACACTCGTTTCGTTAACTACCCATCACCTTTTTTCACATGAAATAGATTTTTTTTGCAAGTTTTCTTATTGTTTTAACGGATTCTGACATTTATCTTTGAGGCAAATCACCTTCTTTAGCTAGGTTACGAGGTTAGGATGTGGCCTGTTAGGTCAGGTAACCTAACTTTTTTTTAGATTAGGTTACCTGACCTAACAGGCAATGTCCAAACCTGACTAAAAAAAGGTTAGGTTACCTAACAGGCCACGTCTTAACCTAACAAAAAAAAGTGATATGCCCCAAAACAGTAAGAAAACTTGGGAAAAAATGTATTTTTCATGTGAAAAATGTGATGGGTGGTTTAACAAAAAATAACCAGAGGGCATGGCTGGAAATCATCATGAGAGCCAATGCTGCATTTCCTGGTGTGGTGAGGTCAGTGGCAGAGTGTGAGATACTGATTGTCAGTATTGTCCAAGTCAAGAAAGAAGATCCCTGCTATAAAGAGGGAATACACACAATTTATTCACACTATATGTAATATTTACACACTATATTCATTAAATATATCTCTCCTTTCCCAGTAAATGCGTTGTTGCCGCTGATGATAATGTTGTTGGTTCGCCAGGGTATCAACTAACAGACGACTATTATGGGACTTAAAAGTGTTCCCGAGATCTTTTAACTTAACAGTACTGTAACCGCCGTCCGGGCGGTTAAAGGATTTAATGAAACTTGTGACGTTGGACTTGAACATTATAATTTGAAACATTATAATTTGGTCAAAGCTGTTGAATACAAGTCATTTTAGTATTTAAACTAAATCATACATGACAATCATAGCTATGTAATTAGTCTAATCTTAACACTTAATGAGTACTTAATTTGCCATATTTCATGTTGTCACAATGATAAACGATGCAATGGACACAGTCTACCTGTGTACACAATAAGTACCAGTTAAACTTACGTGTTGAAAGTCTCAAGAGAAACCAGGTTAGGTGTTGCCTTTGTGGTCTGAATAGCTACAGTGCCGATATACCCTGCTGTCGCCTCCCCAACCCTCTCTCGATGGGTGAGGGCTGCTGAGTCAGGTGATTATACACAAACAAGCTCCCTTACTACCACCCAACAGCTCACCTCCTCTAGGTCTCTCATCTTCAACCAACTCGACACTCTACATACTGTATACGGGCAGGCACACCCAATAAACATGATATGACTTACAGCCTAACATAATGTTTGTTTATGTGTCATCTTACTCATTACTGCTTGCGGTAACACGTACTATTAAGGCCCTTAAAAGTTTTGTATATGTACTATTAGTGCTTAACAGGAAAATGTCAGCCTTAACAACTGTTTGCTAGTACAGTACTTAAAAATTTTGTGTATACCAGCCCAGGCTGTGTCTGTAACAAAGCGTGCTTGCATTCGGGCGTTCGGTTTTGAGCGAACACTGATTACATAAGAACATCAAGATCGTCTTAGTGATGTGAATGTGTAAATCCATATAAGATTTTTAATGTTATTTCTGATCGTATATTGATAGCACTCTACTGACCAGAGGAATAGGCCTGGCCCGGAGGTATACAACCACAAAATCATTGCCATATGACAAGATTTTTTCAGAAAATTTTAAATGAATGGTGTTCATGGCTGTGAATGACCATCCAAAAGTCGATCAGTGGGTGTAGTATTGTGCCTACAGCTAAGACAGTCCATAGTGACAACAGTGACCACGGTGGAGATTGAAAATAAATTGAAGTGAAAATTTGAGATTGAAAATAAATTGAAGTGAAAATTTTGTTTAAATTGGGACAAGCAATCAGGCACCAGCGCCTGGGCATAGCCAAGACATGGTATTTGGTGTCACAAATGAGGTTTTGGGTCTTATTAAAAATCAGTCACTGTTCCAAATTTTGAAACTTGCATTAAAGATACAGTTTCTCGTGCTGATTTTAAATGCGAAACTCATGTTTTGCAGAAATGTTTTATTTGTGACTTACGGGTCTATGAATCAGAAATACTGACCAATCATGCTTAACAAAAGCTCATACAAATTTTGCCCTTTGTGACGCTGGTACCACATGAGCTCGCACAGGTACCCATCCAACATTTGGCAATAAGTACTGGCTTGTTTGTTGTTTCTGCACTTGGCAGCATTCCACAACGGTTCAATTGCGGCAGTTTTATAATTTTTTTTTTGTGAAAAATTGGCCACTGGTCAATCGTCAATAATTACCCTAAGGCCTTTCATCGGGTATTTTATGTCAATAAATACAAAAGTCATTAAAAATTAAGAGAAACATCTCACTACTAGTTTGCTTAAAGTTAGGAAATATAATCATAAGGGGTGTTGGTGATGTAGCGGTAACGCGCATAACTCTCACTAATGTGTCTGTGTTTAAGCCTCGGCCTGGACACACATGAGAAGGGCGTTATCCAGTGTGACCCTCACTACCAAACACCACAGGTTTCCTAGCTTCCTCCTGTACTAACACTGGATAAACCGCCCAAACGGCTAGTAAGCTGATAAGTGGCGAATATGAAAAAAAAAATAGTCACTGGATGAGAAAGGTTTCCATTGTTTTGATACCATTTATACCCGTGGTCCCCCCAACCTTTTGTAGGCTCTGGTCCACATTTGTCATTGTAAATATAGTAGAGGGCGCCAAGACTTTGGATCTATATTCAAGAAAAAATCTCATATACTGTACTGTACAGTTATTTGCAGTTTTACACAAGTCTAACTATTAAAGGTTACATGCTTTTTATATTTACTCATGGATCATGCATTCGTAAAACGAGATATATTTACTTTACTTTTATCCTTTTCTCCATGGATCTGCTCATTAGGCGGTCCATTAAGTCTCTGATAATAGTAATGGTTGTCCCTTGTGTAATGATGATGGCCGGCCCAAGGGCCACCTAGGCTTGAATCTGTTTAAGGTGTAGAAACTGTCGCCAACACAACAACCACACCCAAAGTAAATGAGCTGCATGACCCAGTGTGAAGGAATAGTCTGAGAAGACCAGACAACTGCACTGGCTAACCATTATCCCGGAATACGATCAGCAAATCGATTAACTTCCAGGTTCCCATTTACTGCTGGGTAGACAGAGGCAAATGGCATAAAGAAACCTGCTCATAGTTTCACCCTGCCCGGGAATCAAACCTGGGTCCATTCGCTTGCAAAGCAAGCATGCTGACCATTACATCACATAGAGCAGGCACCAGTCTGGTGGTCCCTCAATTCACAAATGCAATTTCCCATAGCCTGCAGGGCCAATTAATTTTATTCAAGACAAATGCCCCATCCACACGGCCAGAGCAGTGTGTCAGTGTTTGACGGGCAGCAAGACCTAAGGCTCATGGAATTGCAGAGCAAGTGATGTGGCATGAATCCCATTGAAAATATCTGGGCAAGTATCATCAATTCCTGGGAGTCCGAGTTATACAGTAGAGGATGCTGAACCAGCTGTTTGATCATGTGACAAGACAGTGGGAGATTTTTTAGAAAGAAGCCCGAGCTTGTTAGAAACAAAGTATCTTGTATGCTGAGGAAGCCACAAGT